GTCTCAAAACAAGATGAAAAAGACTTTTTGGCTGATATAAGAGTTTAAAACTTGGTTAGGTGGACAGTTTTTGCAGTGTATTTGTTACTCAGAAACAGGTTTTTATCATCTCAAAATGCAGATTAGATTTTTTTCTTACTTCTTGATGTGTTTAATTTGTGTTTTTCAGGTGCTGTTAACTAACTTCTCTTCTGCTTTAGCTGGTTTCTTACTTTGGGCCATAGCACATGCAGAGGCTCCCCAGATAGCCGTTACTGAAGGCAAACAGGACCATAAAGACAATGAAGAAGGCATCGTGGTGAAAGAAGATGGGCAGATGAAGACGAGGCTGAACGTTACACAACATAAAGAGCGGGATGAAGACCACCCGACAAACGATGGACACAGGAAGTATCAGGCTGTCTTTGCTCGGCTGCAACACAAACAAAAGGTCAGTTCAGACTTCTACTTCTTGGCCATCAGTACCGATGCAGAAACATTACAGAAGTGTTGAGAACAATGAAAATGCTGTTATGTGAGTGCTACTGCTCTGAAACTCACCCACATGCACACAGCTGTTAGGCTCCGCCCACCCCAGTCYCACAGGTTAAAAAGTAGGAAGCAGCAGACTGGGATGAAGTACATTTCTGTGAAGAAAATAAGGACAAAGTAAACTTCTTCCCTACTCTAGATGTGACCCTTCACATCGGAATGAGGATTAAGTCTAAAAGTGGTTTTTGGAGAAATAGGCAAATATACTGTTTTGATTAAAACGCTAACAAAAATTACATTTTATCAAAACATAACAAATAAATGCCTTATCAATGTTTCATTTGAATGAACTGTGTGAAAAAACATAATCATAAAAATTTTTTTGAAGTATTTTTTTGAGCAGTGGCAACAAAAAAACTGATTTTGAAGAAAAACACCTTTAAATTTTGAGATTTTCCCTGTGAGCTAGAAATGTGTTTATTTCTTTCCAGCTGGGAAAAGTCAATATTCGAATAGTCTGTGAGCTTTTCTATTCATAATGAAATGACAAATTCCTCATAAAAATAACATAAAATAAGGATTCAGACCAAATATTAATTTATCATCATAACCAACAAGACAAGTTAAGGTGTGTCTCTGGTTCTGTTCATATCAGGATGATCCAGGTATCTTGAAAATGTGATGAAGTCGTTTTGACCAAATTTGACTTAATCCTCATTTTTATATGATGAGTCTGTGAGCTTTTCTATTCATAATGAAATGACAAAT